CGAGACACCGAGCCCGGCTGACACATTTATAATTTTAATGATCTTCAATTTATCTATTTTTCAAGTTTGATTGTGCTTTTGGTATCATACCTAAAAATTGTTAAGCCCAAGAACATGAAAAAATACCCTTGTTTTCTTTTCTTTTTTTTTGAGTTGGAGTCTCACTGTCGCCCAGACTGGAGTGCCACCGCAGCCTTGACCTGCTGGGGCTCTGGCGATCCTTCCGCCTCAGCCTTCCAAGTAGCTGGAACTACAGGCGCACGCTACCACGCCCGGCTAATTTTTTTTGATTTATTGTAGAGATGAGGTCTCGCCCGCCCAGGTGGATCTCGAACCCGCGGTCCTAGGCAGTCCACTCACCTCAGTCTCCCAAAGGCGCAGGATTACAGGCTGAGCCACCGAGCCCAGCACCCTTGTTTTCTTCTAAGAGTGTTATGGTTTTACCTCTTACATTTGTGACTTTTAATCATTTTGAGATCATTTTTGTGTATGATGTGAAGTGGGGGTTCAAATTTATTCTTTTGCATATGGATATCCAGTTTTCCCCACACCATTTTGCTGAAGAGGTTATTATTTCCCCCCATGGAATGACCTAGGTTCCTTTTCCACATCAGTTGACTATAAATGCATGGGTCTATTTCTGGACTCTTACTTTTATTCCATGGGTATATATGTTTATCTTTATAAACCCACTTTATAAACATATATACCATACTATTTTGATTATTGTGGCTATTAAGTTTTGAAATAGGGAAGTATGGTCTTTTACTTTTGATCTTTTAAAAGATTGCTTGACTCTTTGCAGTCCTTTGCAATTCCATAGTTTTTAAATCTTCCATTTCTGTAAAACAGTCATGGAGATTTTGACAGAGATTGTATTAAATCTGTGGATTGCTTTGAGGGTCATTGTCATCTCAGCAATATCAAATCTTCTAACCCATGAACATAAGATGTCTCTTTCAGAAATGCTTTATAATTTTCAGTGTGTAATTTTTCACTTGCTTAGTTACATTTTTTCCTAAGTATTCTTTTTTGATGGTGTTGTAAATGGAATTTTCTTAATTTCATTTACAGTTTGTTCGTTGTTGGTTAAATACAACTGATTTTTGGTCAGATGTGGTGACTCAAGCCTGTAATTGCAGCACTGTAGGAGGCTGAGGTGAGAGTATTGTCTGATTCCATGAATTCGAGACCAGCCTGGACAACATGGTGAGACCTTGTCTTTACAATAAATCAAAAAATTAGCCGGGCATGGTAGCATGTGCCTGTAGTGCTGGCTACTTGAAAGTCTGAGGCAGAAGGATCACCGGAGCTCTGGCCGATGTTGGGATGGCTGTGAGTATGCCACTTCACTCCAGCCTGGGCGGCAGAGTGAGACTCCAACTCAAAAAATACATTTTTTAAAATGAATAAATAAATACAACTGATTTTTGTGTGGTCTTGTATCCTGCAAATTTGCTAAATTCATTTATTAGCTCTAAGTGCTTTTTAATGAATTCTTTAAATTTTTCAAATACAAGATCATGTCATCTGTGAATAGTTTGACTTCTTTTCCAATTTTGATGACATTTTTAATGTTTGAATTTCTTGCAAATTGATGGCTTCCACTCATGGTGCTATGTTCCTTTGTACTTTTTCTTGCTGGTTTTAAACTGTGAGCTTTAATGAAATTCCCGAAGAGTGTTTGTTTCTGCTAGCAGCTGGTTGCTCTACTGATTTGGAGCCACTTTAAGAACTAAATTCCCTGCTTGAGTTTTCTGAGACCTCCTAGGTAGTAATATTTAAGGCTGAAAATCTTCACAAAAGTCAAAATATTATTACAAATTACCAGAATATTCTCCTACCACAAAGCACCAAGGTTCAAGATAGGCCAAGACACCACTCTTGGGTGCATCCTAGGCTTTGCCAGGGCCATGAAAATTAAAGGTCAAGTTATTTTGAAATACTTCAAGTGTTCTCAAAATAAAAGCTGGCTTATAAGTATGTTGTTTCCTTTTTTGGTTCCCTGTTTAATTTTGGCTTTGGTCCGAGAGTACTCTTTAATTTCTTAATAGAAAAACACATTAAAGATAAAAATTAAAAATGTTTCTCCGCCAGCAGATTTAGTTACTGTTTCACAGAATTGGTCAGGTAATCACTAATATTGTTAGAAACTGAAATGTCTACTTACTCACTATCTAGTATTTATTTTATTTATGGTGGCCAGAGAGTAAAAAAGATTCCATTAATAACTTTTAAAATATAAGTTTTTCTTCTTTTGAAGTTAGAAATAAAGAAAAGCAAGGAGTACTTGTGGCAAAGACTACCATTTGGCTTATAAGTCATTTGTGTATTAAATATTTGACCACCCATGTGCCAAGCAGTCATCTAGTCCTTCATGAACAAAACAGACAAAATAAATATCTGTCTTCAGAAGATGTAGAGCTGTGGTGAGGTTAAAATAGAGACAGTAAGTTTATCTGTAAGATAAATAACACTGAATATGCCATGATGCACTCTATAGTGTTGTTGTTGTTGGCATAGCATATGGAATGGTCAAGAAAAACCACTTTGAAAAGGTAATATTTGAACAGACTTACAGTTGGAGGTTAACAGAGACCTACGGTTGGAAAAGCAGTAGCCATATGTATGTGGGATAAGATGATCCTAAGCAAAGGGACGAACACAGCCAAATACCATGTGGGAGAAAGGACACTGTGTTCAAGTCTCAGCAGAGTCCAGGGTGTGCCTCAACTGAGGGAGCTGGGATGGTTAGTGAGGCCAGCAAGAGTGATTAGGGATGAAGCAGAAATAACAGTAGGGAAGTCATTTTCAGCCTTGCAGATTACTTTTGATACTTTGGCTTTTACTCTGAATGGCTTTTACTCTGGTTTGCCATTAGGAGGCTTGGAGGAAAACCATGACATGATGTAACATGATTCAAAAGGGTTGTGTCAAGCGTGTGGTAAGAAGCAGCAGGGAAACCTACTGAGGCGGCTATTGCAGTAATCCATATAAGAGTTATCAGAACTTTAGTCTACAGTGGCAGCAGTCAATATGGTGAATGGGCAGACTCTGAGGGCTGACGTTAAATTTGATTGGAGGTGAAGTGTGAAGAGTCAAGGTTAGTGCTTAAGTTCTGGGCCAGTGCAACTAAAGTAACTCATACGTTTACAGAGGATACTAAGAGGTAGGAATATGTGTCTGTGTAGATATAAAGCCAGCTTTACACATTTAAAAAAATGTCTTCCAGATAGTCATGTGGATATCTGGTAGCTACAAAGCAGCAGAGAAATGGTTGGAAAGTCAGCAAACGTTTAACTGTGCTCCCAAGCCAGTATGGCATGGAAGTACTTAATTGTTCTGCCTTACTTGACACTATTCAAAATTAATGATAAACAAGGAATCAAGAAGTTATATTGAGAATCATCAGTCAGTAGTCGGTAAAAGTAAAAACTATTTCATAAAAACTTTCTACAATACAGAAAAAAAGTTAATAGGGCTTCTCAAAATTAAAAAATCTCATTCAGAAACTGTACAGCTTGGGAATAATTTACAGTGGGACCATATTCTAAGAAAACAATTATCAGAAAATTTTGTGCATCCGAGTTAATCATACAAAATTCTCCAAAAATGAGGCCAGAAAGGGCACATCGTTACAAGAGTAGCAGGAAATGATACAAAATAGTTATGAGGGACTTTCATTCAACTATCTCCAATCTTTCTAGTCTTTCTAGCAGTCTCAATTTTGATTAACATGGTGTCTCCATTTTTTTTAAAGGGGGGGCGGTGGTCATGTTTTGAAACTGCTCCCAAGTACCTTTAACCATGCATTTTCCCATCACTCCAAAACAAGTAAAAGTTTTAATAGCTATCTTGAAACACTAACATGCACCATTTTCACTTGGGTCAAAAAAAGTTGCCTAGCGTAGGGTCAGAAGGGGACCTGGGTTCAAATCTTTCTTAAACTAGCTAACTACAGTTAGGTTGGTTTTTGTACCTGATTATGTTTATTTAACTTTAAAGATGTACGTGGGCAACAATTCAGGATTAGGTACATGTACAAGTAGTCATTATATAAGTAAAAGACTATGGGCCTAACACTGATGCTCATTTCGCCAGTTTTGGATCAGGTAAACCTTATTGCTATGTGCCCCCTCCCATCTGATTACCTTCAAATACTTAATCATTGGCTAAATTATACACCCCAGTACTGCTGTTACCCAAATTAACTGTAGGGCATTAATGTACCTCAGTATTCCAAGTGTAAATGTGGAAACCAACCCATATTATTACTTACAATTCAAAGTGTTATGAGTTTGTCAATATCAGAAATAACACTTATAGACGAGGCATTCTCTATAGTCACAAAAGACAAGAGTTGTAAAACGAAACAAAACCCACAGGGTCAAGAGATACTGGTCGTAGTTGGTTACAAGTGCTAGACAGACTTCCAAAACATGATTCAATCTTCACCATGCATCATCACTTGGAAAGCTCTTATTACAGGATACCGGGTTCTACCCCATAATTTGATTCAGGCCTAAGATGGGGTCTGATAACTATTTTAAGGAATTTCCCAAATGATGCTAAGACTGTTAATCTCAGTAGTTACTTTTTTTTTTGAGTTGGAGTCTCACTCTGTCGCCCAGACTGGAGGGCAGTGGCTGCTCCCGGCAACCGCAGCCTTGACCTGCTGGGCTCTGGCGATCCTTCCGCATCGGCCTTCCAAGTAGCTGGAACTACAGGTGCGCGCTACCACACCTAATTTTTTGATTTATTGTAGAGATGAGGTCTTGCCAAGTTGCCCAGGTCTTGAACCCACGGGCTCAATCCACTCACCTTGGCCTCTCAAAGCGCGGGATTACAGGCTGAGCCACCAAGCCTGGCTTCAGTAGTTACATTTTGAGAACCATCATCCTAATTCTTTTAGTAACTGTCTTAAGAAGCTCAAAACCAAGCTCGCACACAGTATTAAGTGTGGATTTCATGTTAGCTAGAAATACTGAGTAAGACCAAAGTGTCTTTAAACACAGACTTTAATGATAACAATTCCTTTAAGCTCCATTAACTTTTAGCTATTACAAGTCTTATGCAGATGTCACTATTAAACAATATTTAGTGACTTGCACTGGGTTCCTCATAAAATAGAAGACAAATTCACTTAAAAGTGTAATCAACAATCATTTAACAGTTTTGTTATGCCAACACAAAACATGGCTAGTTTGAGTTACCCACCCCCCCATCACTAACACAGCATGAGCAGTACCCTAAGTATTCAACTAAGCCATTAAAAAAAAGTGAGTGTTTCACTACCCCTGAGACCACTAGTTAACTGTGGTTCATACTTTAAAATGTGAGTACACCCACACAAAAAAGCAAACTAATCAGTTTTTTAAAAAAAAGTTTATCACATTGCAAACTTGCCCAAGAAAAAGACTGTCACTTAAAATGTAAATTTATCTCTGACAGGTCAACTGGACCTCAATTATAGGTTTATGCATTGAGATGTAGGAATAGCCAAAATCAATTTGTGAATCTTCACTTCACTGTGGGACTTTAGTCCTACACATGGCACTAATATCAAATTACTAGATGGGGTGGGGAAAAGGAAATCTCTTGGATTCTTTTGAAGGTCTCATTGTAGATGATCTCACGTCCAGTGCCCATACATTCAAAAATGTTGGTTTTCCAGGTATTTTAAAATACTGTTCTCTTAAACCTGGAGAAGCCTCTATGGCTTATTCCCTTAGAAGTGACAAATGAAATGTATAAAAGCATCAAGTCAAAGATAAAGAGAACTGGAAACATTCACTAATTACTATGACAATGGTTTTAGGAAGTCATCTTGCAAATACCTAAGGGTTGTCTAAGGCTAAAAACGTCTATGTGAAAGCCAATTAGGGATCCACCGTGGTTTCATAAATGTGTTCTATTCATGTTTGGCTTTCAAGAAGTGATATGCCTACTAAAGCTGTTATTGAGAGCACATGAGTCTCAAGTAATTATTTTGAAAATAGAGCCAAAGAACAGTATTTCTTACCTTGTGGAGCAGTTATTTCTCATTCATAATTTAAATTATAAAATGTTTAAAGAGCATGTCATCTACCCTGGAGTCATTATTTAAGCAAAAAAACAAAATGAAAAAGATCACTATTGGAAAAACTGTATAGTCAGATATTTCCCAATGAAATGCTTATTACAAAATCAACAAAGTCAGAACATCTTCAGAAGGCATGCATTTCACTTTGTTTAGAGAAGAACCTTAAGTCAACAAATCATGTCCAAACTACAAATTAAAAAGTTTATAAAAATTAAACTTTAGCGTTTATTTCTAGCTTTCCACATCTGTGTGCAGACAAGGATAAGATTGCACCTAAGTGTAAGCAGTGCAAAAATGTAGAAGTGAAGTCACAGATGTGCTAGAACTTTAAGAAATAAAGCAATGGGCGAATCAAAATAGGAAAATCAAAACTACAGGATCAGAATTAGAAAGGTGAAGAATGGTAATGCCCTTGTTACTATATATAGAAGATAAATTAGTGGCACAGATAGCACTTGTCAAACAAAAAATAATCCAATAGCATTGACTTTTATTCATTCATGTTAAGTCACCTGAAATGATATCTGTTGCATTTAATTGCTCATTAATGTAAATGGCTGAACAAATCCATCTCAATGGATACTCAATATCCCACATAGGTAAGTCACTTCAACACAGCCTCATGACAACTCCCACACCAAAACAGTACTTTATTTTGTAAATTTTGACCCATTATTACTCCCATATGTTTTTTTCAGCTGTCAAGTGTACACGTGAAAAGAAATTTTAGTTAGACAGGGGCTGCACCTGGAAAATAAATTTCTTACACTCCATATACATGTTCCAAACTGCTGGGTCCCAAAAGTCCATCTATGAACTCAAGGGCTGCCAGTATCACGTGCAGCACATTAAAGCTACACTATCTGAATAGCTTATTAATTCTGCATAAATCAGGTCAAGCAATGTGTCAACCTGTAACAGACTGTGCACTTTAACTGAACATGGCAAAATATTTCACTCTTTTGAACTTTACATCATCATTTGATGTCAAACAATGAAGCAAATCCCAACAGTATATACAAAAAACAGTTTTGCATTTACAAAAGATTGTTTCCCATACTGATTAATCCAGGCAGCTAACTCATTGGTTTATGCAACTTTATTGAAGAAAAATAAATCAATTACTAGCAGAGCTATTAGTTGATCACTCATCCATTGACAACTTGCATCATTTATTCAGTGCTATATTAAACAGTGTATTGGAAGATAGATTAACTAATAGCTCCAAGCCTCCTAACAATTTAAATGAAAATTACAAAATGTTTGAGACCCTATTTTGGAATACAAAGGGTGTTTGACTTCCAATTTCCATTCTCTGTAGAACAAGAACAGGTCATTCCTTTATTGACATGCATAAAATACATCACATTTTCTGTTCTGCTGATGCTATAAATTCAATACCAATTCTCCAGCCACATCAGTTATGAGCATGAAGTATATCACGTAACCTCAAATCTCTAACAGTGGAAGGCTTAAACAAGAATGGATGCTGCTAGAATAATGCTGTTTCCTTTGATGTGACAAGAGCATCCATCTCCCTCCCCCTCGGATGATTTCTTCAGCATGTTAGAGCTGTGAGGAATGGTTTTAGTCTCATAACCAAGTTAGAGTGAAGACATTGGCCACATAATACACATGCTCCATTTTTTAAAAAAATTCTGAGTCTTGGGCAACTGTTCTCTTGTAACTACTTTACAGTTTCTAAAAGCAGTTATTGTCCAAAGCTGGAAGAACTTAAGTCTTCTCAGATGAGCATGTGAATGAATGGAGGGAGGTAAACAAAAAATAAAATTAAAAAAGATGAGGTCTGATAGGGGAGCAGCCGGATAAGAAAATCAAAAAAGGAACAGTAATTTAAAGTTTATTCCAGCTATAATGCAGGTTATTCTGACTTTAAGGTAGCATCACATGGCATACTTCTGAGTCCATTCCCGAGATATTCTGTTGTACCTGTAAATAAAAAAGATGTTATTTAAACATAATAATAAACATAAACTTGACACCGAAATTGGGAGACTAACAACAAAAAAAAGCCCTTTTCTCTCCACCACTGAGCTAATTCTCTAAATTTAGAAACTCAAAAACTAGTATTCATTCTGACAGGTTTACATTAAAAAATGTTTACAGTTTATCATGGATATATGTCAGGATAGCATATACATTTTAGCCACCTAGAGAAATTTCTATCAAAGCCAGAACCAATCATTTTACCAAAATCCTAAGCTTTGACAAATTACTTGGTCCTGGGTATTATCAGAAGAGAAAATGCCTTTGAGACTTAGAGACAGAAGAGGAAGAAGACACTGGGTAAGATGCTAAGAAGCAGTAATTTTAAAGAAGGGATGTGAGTGGCTTTGTTAATCAGACCCACATATGTTATTTTAAAAGTGTGGTAAATGAGACTAATAAGCCCCAATAAGACCTGGAGAAAGGAATTCCTAGGAGTACAACCAGCACAACCAGATCAACAACAGGTAATTCACACACAAGCAAGGTTATTACTAAGAAGACTACTCATATTGATAAATACTATCAATCTCCCCCTAGACTACACTCATGCCATATGCTACTTACTCCAACAAAAACAGTAATAATCTTAAGAAATTAACATACAAAAGGCACAGGATAACTTTTGCATTTTATTGGCAGTTTGAACTTTAAAAACACCAACTAGCCTTATTTCAAAACCAAGACCTAAACATGGTTCAATTACTTCTCTACTAACATATAAAAAAGCTCTTTCTAACAATTCATTGTTATCTCAGTTAAGGATACCCTCTCAAAAAGCCAGCACTTTAATATTAGCATACAAGGAGACACAAAGTATAGCTGGCACTAATGCATGCTTGTCAGGTAATGAACATTTTAGTTTAGATGCTTAGGTTTAAGTGTTTTCCCTTACATTACTACCCTGGTCAAATTTGAAGTAAATCACCACATTCCATATGGTATTGGTACAAAGTCTCAAGCTAAAATTTAAACACCATGGTAGCTTGAAAGAAATATTACTTAAATTCCCATTTTTTACTAGTGCGATATAACTGCTTTGCCATGCAATAACTTTCAAGCAATAATAATTACCAGGTATAGGCTTTCACACTAAACAGAGATCAAGCAGTTAAATGTACACTTTTCAGACAACTGCCACATCTGTTACCTTTTGTTAGTTAATACAGTGCCTTAAAGCATGCAGCACTCAAGTGCTGGCAGTACCACGTAAGCGCACCATAGAGTGCAGATCCTCTTACCCTACAACATAGCGTATTTCTCTGTCCACTCTCTTGCTAACCTATTGTACCTAATTGAACAAGCATACTTGGCATTAATTATAACATACAAAAGTTATAATGTTAAGTCAAATATAAAGACAATTCAATAATTTCAGAAACTCAGACCAAAGCTTTACAACAGTACTAATATTTTTTGGAGAAACATACTTGGGGTGAAGAGATATTTGCTCTCTTCCCCAACACCAGGGAATAATGTGATAAAATGTAACATGTTAGGAAAAACATTTTAAAGGGGCTACTCACTGGTAGATAAGCTAAAGCCCAGTAATTTTAAACAACCACACTTCAATCACTAGCTTTCTGCACATTATCTTCCCAAGAATAAGTATCAAGTTTTCTTGGCATTGCTACAACTTAAGTCTACCTCATTAAGTAAAACCACTTTTTAATAACATTAAAAAAATGCTTACTTATCTCTGTCTGTTTTATAGATCCGTGCAATCTCTGGCACTAGGGGGTCATCTGGGTTTGGATCACATAGCAGTGAACAAATGGATAAAAGAACTGCAAGAAAATAATGTCTGTTACCCAGTATCAGAGTTTAGATAAGTGTCAAGAGTATTTAAAAACAGATTATAAACCTCAATCCTCAAAAGACTTTTATTAGTTTACATCTTAACCTCAATAAGACAGTTTTAAAGAGATTTAACTTGATAGAAGTCAAGCTGTTGGTGACAAAAGACAAAATTAGAGCTTTGTGGCATCAAATTCGGTGCCCACTAGCTATAAAAATACTGCCAAACTCACATAAATATTTGTTGACTGCAGCAAATATAATTTCAAACCCAAATATGGGGGAGCAAATATAAAATTAAAAAATAAAAAGAGATCTGGCTACACAGTAAACTCACAAAAGAAAATGCAGAAACTTCAGTTGTGACTGCTAGTTTAAATTAGCAAAACATGACTCCCAAAAAAGCAAATAAACCGCCACACCAAGTCAATTTGCATTTACAGACAGTTTTTAGTATTATAGTGCACTCTCAACAACAGTAAAAAACTTGGAATAAGGTTTTTAGATATGACAGCATGACTTGAAAATAAATTAGAAAGTATACAAGAGGGTGAAAAACAGGTCAAAAATTTTAAAAACATTTGGAAGAAGAATGGGAACATGTGCCCATATTGTTTTTCTTTCTTCCCCACAAGTTATTCTAGTTAAACCAAAGTTTGGGAAATACTACCACATAGCCCTCCTCCCCCCCCAGATTAAAATGCAGTGTATAAGCATATGAAAGGCTTTATAGGATGACTTGCCTTTAAAAAAAACCACCTGTTTCAGCTGTATTTACCAAATGCAGAAAATCATAAAACATTTTTAGTAATATACTGTTATTTCAAGGAGTTTGGAAAAGGCCCTTGAACTAGAAAATGTGAATGCTTAGATATATACTCTATAATATCCAAAATATTCATAATTAGAAACATTAAAAACCTAGTCACATGTACCTAAGAAATATTAAGCCAATATTAAAACTGAAAACTAAAAAGCAGACTTTCTATTAAGGAGTTTTGTATATAATTCAATTTGTGGGGTGAGCTTTGTGTATAATTCAATTTGTGGGGTGAAAGGTGACACAAAAGCCACCAGTAATCCAAAAGAAAGTGATGGAGAGAATTCCATCTCCACCTGGGATATTCATGCAGAGAGACTACGCAATCTGTTAAGAGATGTCACATAATGGGTTCCTATTAAAAGCAGGAGACCAAAAATGATCTAGAGATCTTTCCAAGATTCTTTAATTTTAGATTGCTATTATATAGAAACAACCTACTATGGTTACATAACACCTGGCTAAAGATTTGTCCAAACAATTAACATGCAAGAGCAAAATCAGAATTTTCCTACAGTGAAAACTTCGGGATTCAAAAGCTCTATTATGTTTAGGTATATTATACCATTTTTGTTAAAAATGCAAAGTATGAGATGAACAAGTGGTCTGGGATAAAAAATACAGAATTCTATTAAAATAAATTTTGCTATTATGAGATGAAGGCAACTCATCAGGCAAACAGTGCCTCCTCAACACCCCAATTTGAACTTTAAACTTCTTCCCAGAAAAACTCTGCAATCAATACTGCTTGAAGAGCAAAAAATGATATAAATAACTTTATTCCTTACCTACCTCTTTCCAAAGAGATGGCTTAACAAAAAGACCCAGATAAAGTAGATCCAAAAATGAAACTCCCTTAACTATTAGAAAATCAAAACAGCTCAAGACTATTACAAGTATTTTACCTTTAGAAATAGTTAAAGCAGGAGACCACTGTGATCTTAGAATATCGAGACAAATGCTGCCGTTACTGTTAATATTTGGATGATAAATTCTTGTTGTAAATGCAACCTAAAATAAACAAAAAATGTTCAGGTATTTTATTCAAATAAAAACAAGCATCCAAAGCTTAAGTAGACTCTTAAATCAAAGGTAAAATAATTAATTTCAGCTTAAAAAAATAAAGTCATTAAAATCTACTAGGTACATATAAAAGTATCAAATACAACAAAAACCGGTTTTTACATTCTGACCACCTACCCCCATGGGCACCCTTCTCTTCAATTAAAATGAAAAATATAATTTTGGAGCAAACATTTCATTATTGAAGACATGGTAGAAAGTCCTCAAAGTTTCTCTAGCCCTACTATAACATGAATATCAAAGGATAACTTGAAGAATATTCAACACATTCATTAAAAAATAAGGTTGGGCCAGGCATGGTGGCTCAGCCTGTAATCTCAGTACTTTGGAAGGCTGAGGCAAGTGGATTGCCTGAGCCCGGGGGTTTGAGACCAGCCTGGGCAACTTGGTGAGACTTCGTCTCTATAATAAATCAAAAAATAAGCCAGGCGTGGTAGCAAGTGCTTATAGTTCCAGTTACTCGGAAGGCTGAGGTGGAAGGATCCCTGGAGCCCAGCAGGTTGAGGCTGTGGTGGCAGTAAGTGTGCTACCACATTCTAGCCTGAGCAAAGAGTGAGACTTCAACTGAAAAAAAAAAAAGTTTGTTGTTTTGGGCCGGGTGCAGTGGCTCACAACTGTAACCCCAACATTTTGGAAAGCTGAGGTGAGAGGATTGTGTGAGCCTGCAATCACAGCCTGGGCAACACACCAAGACCTCATCACAACAAAACAAGAAATTAGCCAGGTATGTTGGTGTGCATCTGTAGCCCCAGCTAGTTGGGAGGCTGAGGCAGAGGGATCACCTGTGCCCAAGAGCTCCAGGCTATGATGAGCTCTGAGCATGCCACTGCACTCTAGCCTGCGATAACAGTGTGAGACCCCAACTAAAAAAAAAAAACACCAAAAACCAAAACAAAACTTCTGAAGTTTCATTCAGTTACACAAGTATGTATTTAAGTCTGCATTTCTACTGTACATAAGACTTAAACTTAAATCATAAGTGTTTCATCCAAAGGAACCATCACATTCCACCTATGACATGACTGAAAATGATTACAGTGCATAACAATGTCCTATGTATATAATCTATGGTTATTTATACAGATTGAATTTACGTTCATAACTCTGAAAAGTCAAGAACCATATGCTTTTAATTCCTATAAATCAGGTAGGTACCTCAGTGTTGAATACCAACCAAAAATGATTATAATCCATCTAAACTGCAACACAAATAGTGTTGTCGCAGTGTAAGTCGTAGCAATGTGCAAATACATACTGAGGTTAAACACCTGATTACAAGACAATAAAAATAAAGCCAACAATCGAAATCTGTGTAATAATAATGGTTTTTTAAAAAAAGGGAGGCTTCTGCATGGTATATTTGAGTCATACAATATTAAGAACAAGGCAAACATTATCCCCATGTACAAAGTCCAAATTGAGGTCTAGCTCTTTTGACCAGAAGAATCAGTATCTCTCTCTCTATATATGTATCAAGTGACTCAATTCAATAAATAAAATTCCAGCATCATTTAGGCAGAATCCTAATTTCTAGAAATACTCTATTCCTTTGAAATAAAGCACAAATCTACTCTAAGAGATTACCTTAGGTGGTTTGAAGGGGTAGTCTGTAGGAAAATGAATTGTCAAAAAGAATACACCGCCTTGATACGGGCTGTCATTCTGTAAAAAGAAAAGCATGCTTAACTCTGAAATTTAAAATATCACTGCTCAATAACCTACATAACATTTTTATTTTCTAAGCATTTCTCTAATAATGAACTAACATTACCTACTGTTTACACTGCAATAAAGAATCTAAGTTATCTCAAGAAAATTCACTTTGTATTAATGAAAAAACACAAACTTACTATATAGTAACACACCCTAACTTACTTAGATCCAATTTTACACAGGTCACTGACAAATTTTAGAAAAAAAGTACAGAAACACTGTGTTGGAGATCCCAATTCTCACAAAGGATAAAGTATGCTTTGCAATAAGGTCTACATACAGAATCCAGTATCGAACTATAAAAATAAAATTTTACTTGTATAGAATATTTCTTCTAACAGCCAGATATATCAAATAGTTTTACATCTCAACAGACCATTCTGTCCATTGGGCAAATAAAATGTTTACTATCCCACGTAACATATAACTACCTTTAATAAGCTCATCTAATCCACACCATTCCGTAAAATAAACAAACATTAGTTCAATTAATCTAACTCCCTACTAATATACTATATATGTATAAGAAGACTCAGAACGATTTTATCTTGATGACCTTACACTATGGTAGAGAGACATATAAAGCAAATACAATGGAATGTTATAGGTATTATGAAAAATGAATAAGGCATGCATGGAGTTCAAAGAAAGGTTAATTTATTAATGAATCAGGTTCAAAGACACACACAACTAGCAAATGTAAGAGCTACTATTTATTATTATTTTTGTTTGTTTGTTTTTTGAGTTGGAGTCTCACTCCGTCACCCAGGCTAGAGTGCAGTGGCATGCTCACGGCCACCCCAGCATCGACCTGCTGGGTTCCTGCGATCCTTCCACCTCAGCCTTCCAAGTAGTCATAACTACGGGCATGCGCTACTACGCCCAGCTAATTTTTTTTTTCTCATTTACTGTAGAGACGAGGGCTCACCAAGATGCCCGGGCTTGTCTTGAACCCGTGGTGCGGGCTCAGGCAATCCACTCGCCTCGGCCTCCCAAAGTGCTGGGATTATAGGCTGGGCCACCGCGCCCAGCCAAGAGCTACTATTTAAATTGAGTTCTTCCAATTCCCAAGTCCCTCCTTTTCATATTTTCTACAAAATATAAAACTACGGAAAAAGCAAATAAAAACAAGGCACCAGCATTGACTGAGTTTGTTAGATTAACATTTTAATTAAATGATACAGCTATATTAACTGAGAAAAGACACTTCAAATAGCATATGCTTTTTTTTTTTTGCGTTGGAGTCTCTCTCACTCTGTCACCCAGGTTGGAGTGCAATGGCACTCCTGGCCACGGCAGCCTCGACCTGCTGGGCTCTGGTGATTCTTCCACCTCAGTCCTCCAAGTAGCTACAACTAGAGGCGCATGCTATCACGTCTGGCTAATTTTTTATTTATTGTAGAGGCAAGGTCTTGCCAAGTTGCCTGGGCAAGTCTTGAATCCATGGGCTCAGGCAATCCACTCGTCTCAGCCTCCCAAAGTGCTGGGATTACAGGCTGAGCCACCGAGCCTGGCCAGAATGTGCTTTTATATGATCTGCTATGTTCTTACTGTATAAAATCACCAATTTAAGGGTAATCCCACAAACATTAAAGTTTTAAAAACTCAATTCTTGAAGTTCTGTTTAAGCTTTCATTCTAAGTTTCATACAATCAAATGCTGTATCTGACTGCTTCTAAATAAAGGCAATCCACTGATGAGATGTAGGCAAAGCCAAATTTCATTTCATTTATTCAAAGAAAGTTCTCTTAAGAGGCAAACTATTTCAAGGTTACGATTTCACATTAAAATTTCACTGTACCAAAGAAGAAAAACTACAGGTGTGGAGGTTAACAAAACAAGGCTATCTTTAAAATTGAGGCCCCATAAATATCAAATACTTATAGATTGGCTGCCAAAGAAAAAAAAGAACTCCCAAACAGAACGGAAAAATATTGTGATGAGCAAATAAACCCAAATCTTAGAAATTCAAAATTTACTAGATCTCTTTAGAAACCTTCTATTCTTGTTTAGTTCTAATCAGTCCAAGCTGCTCCCTCTCAGCATAATTCTTCTCTGGCAACCACACACTGTTGGCATTCTAAATGCTTCTAATTCCTACCCTTCATATATTTTGCAAACTCAATTTTTCTCTGATGTAACTTTTTTGCTCCAGAGCATATATACTCAAATGCCTGCTGAATAATTCAACTTGGGTATCTCACTCATATGTCCAAAATTCAAACTCCTGGTCTCAATACCTTTTTTCCTGTTTAACAATTAAACCATAAACAGGATACTCATAGTTGATTCTTATTTCTCTCTTCTCCTTAGAGTCAAGATAGTCACCAAATCTTAACCCTTTTCACTTGGAGACATTTTGTGGATTACCTACCAGCAACTTGATCACACTTTTTTTACTAACTAGGGAAAAACTAATCACCTCACATTAAATGGTAGTGTTGTAATCAATCATTTTATTGCAAAGATATTTAGCTTATAATGGAATTTTGGACATTCAGGTACTTATGACAAAAAAAATTCAAACTTTTATATCTTATATTTTTCTAGCATGTGGTGACATGTGAAACAGTCATCAACATGCACTCCAAGTTCATTGACAAACATTGCACAATAGTAATTTGACATCTTCCACCTAATGTTTTTCTACATGAGCAGACAATGCAGTCTTGTTTTCTTCCTTCCTAGTCTGTTGTTGGAAGATGAAGTGAAAGGATGCACTCGTGATTCCTAAAAACCACTTCTCAACTGAATAATCAAAAAGCTTAACAAATTTCAAATGAGGCATAGGTTTTTCACTGTTTTTGAATGGAAAACTTGAAAGAAACACACTTTTAAAAAAGATTTGCGCTTGTGATAAGTGTGTCCTGTATAATCACCAGCAATCTCTTTATGTCCCGAGAGGGGACATCCGAATGCAAAGTGTTAAAGTTTTTAAAAATTTCTTGAATTATTCTCTTTTATGCCCACTGTTACTACTCTTAGTTCACAATTTACTATCTTTGCCTAGATTATGGCAACTGCTTACTACTGATATTCCCCCATCCTAATGCTGAAGTGGTCTTTTTAAAGATAATCGTTACTTCACTGCTTGAAATCTACGACATCTTTTAAGATACAAAATCTAAGCACACATGATGTTTTATGATATGGGTTCCCACCAATCTAGTTAGTTCATCTTTTACCTCTTCTCTGAATGTGTTCTCTACTGCACATAAAATAAGTGTTACAGGAATGACTCAAGTTTCATACTTCCCCCTCTTTTCTACTTTTTTTCCTTACTGGAAATATTGTTTCTTATAATATAGACCCCCCTTTAGTCCATTCTGCTGGTTGCCTTTCTTTTATACCTCTATGTATATAGTTGCAATTACTCATCCACATTTGTGACATTTCCCTCTTCTAAGAGGGTGCACAGCTCCTTGTAGAATAAGATAAAGAGGGAAAAAAGTTTTCACATATCATTAGCCTTTGAGGAAATGACATACTACTTGATGTACTTTATGTAAAAATAATCTTTATGAACCAATAAAATAATACAGGGTACTTTCTTCTACAGCTATGTCATAAGTTAAGTGGAAGTTAGTGTGGTTCACCAGATCTGTATCTTTTTCTGCCAACTCTCATTTCCAAGTAAAGAAAAATTAGTCAAGTAAATGTCAGAATCAACAGGTAAGGGAGTGGGTTTATTTTCCTTGTGTCAATTTTTAATGAAAGCTATCCTTAGTATACAAAAAAAGCACCAAATGTTACAAAACTACTTAACTAGCAATGCTCTATCAATTATTTCAAAGACTCAGCTTTTCATCAACATTTGTGTTCCCTAGGTAGTTTACCTTCAGAAATAAGCCAGCACCTATGATTATTATCAATTTCATCATATAACTAATGATCAAGAGCATTTCCAGACTAAAATACACTACAATTAAATGGTTAATCTTTATAGAAAATTGGAGGCTACATTCCTTAGAAAGACAGGAATTTGTACTTTTGTGGAACCGGCATCCCTTCAATTGCTCAAGAAGTACTCCAACGTGACGGGGCTCAGTGGGTCAGCCTGTAATTCCAGCACTTTGGGAGGCTAAAGTGAGTGGATTGCCTGAGCCCACAGGTTCGAGACCAGCTTGGGTAACTTGGCGAGACCTCATCTCTACAGTAAGTAAAAAAAAATAGCTGGGTGTGGTAGTGTGCGCCTGTAATTCTGGCTACTTGGAAGGTTGAAGCAGAAGGATTGCTAGAGCCCAGGAGGTCGACGCTGGGGTGGCCATGAGTGTGCCACTGCAATCCAGCCTGGGTGACAGAGTAAGACTGAATCCCCACAAAAAGAAGTACTCCAAAGCAAAAGTATCTTTATTACCCAGTTCTCCCAGTAAATCTGCAATTCTTGGCTTTTTTTTTTTTTTTGCATCCTACCTCATGTCACATAGAGTAATCATACCCACAAAATAAGCTAATATTTGTTTTATCATAGTGATGTCATCACAAGATGCACTGAGAAGCCAAAAGAACATGAGTTGTTTCATAGAAGCACCACATATTAAGTATGTAGTTAACTATTTAAAGCTGGCATCTTATTTATGTGTTTACATAGAAGACAATAAAACATGTACTTTGGGTGCATTTTTATAACCTTTGACTCTTTCCTGAAATTATCCAACCAACAGTAAGAATTAACCTTTTCAGTTGAAAATGCATTTCAGTGAATACTGCAGCCAAAGCAAAACCGTGCAGTTGTAATTAATCAGGTTAATATTTAGCTTTCAAATGTTTGCTTTTAAAAGCAGGAAACTACTAATTACTACATATGAAAAGGCTACTGAAAAGATTTTTAGCAAGGAATAGCCATAATCTAAAATATACAAAGTAAATAAAACAGTATTTTCTGGGGGGAAAAAAACCTAACTGAATAAACTGCTAAAAACTGTCAGGATAAGTGACACTATTCTCTACAAAATTACTAGCATACGTTCCTAACTGATGCTTCCCTTTGCCTTACTGTAGGTATGTTCCTTACACCTTTTGGGGGAAAAATAGTGTACTGCTCAAAACAGTGAAGTCTCAAAAGTCAAGTAGAAAAACAGACGGGTTTTAAGGAAATGGTGTATTTTGCACACCATCCAAAAAAGTCTTAATTACCAGCTCTTCTGTGCTTTCTTAGTATTGACAAATAATATTTATAATGGAACTGTCAAGGACAGGTATGCAGTGACTCACACCTATAAACTCAACACTTTGGGAGGCTGAAGCAGGAAGGCTGCTTGAAAAAAAAAAACTATTTTTCTGCCAAATTAGAAGAAAGGAAGCCTTTTAAAGTTAAAAGATAATTTAAAACAGTAAAAATAATCCGAGATAAAATGCACAATCCTGGCTTTGCAGTTAAGATAACCAATATTTCAAAGTTTTATACTTAATCTTTATACTATTCCCCCATTTGTCTTAATTTAAATCAGTCTCTCTATCTTTAGGTTAACACTTTAATTCAATATCCCTGTTATGATTTTCCATAAATTTCTCCTATACAGCACTTTATTCATTAATCATTTATTTTTCATCTTATCATACTTTAACACTTGTTTTAATTACTTGTCTCCTCCAGCAGAGTTTAAGTTCCCTAAAGACTGAGAGGGATATCTATTATGTTCCCCTTATCCTTATTGCCTGGCACATAGCAGGTGTTCACATTTGAAATAGAAAAATAACTGAAGTTATTACAACCAGAATTCCAGTATAAATACTTACTGATCTAACCTATTCACTGGCTGACACTTCCAAGGGCATTTTTGCCCTTCAGAATTATAAACATCTACTTAATGACTACTGTCATTCATGTTGAAACAAAACCACCAAAAAGGGAAACAGAATTTTCAGTAAGATACACATGTAACTTAGAAAAGAAATCCTAAAGTGCCCTCCAAGTTTAAAAAAAAAGTTCAGCATTTATGCAAGACAACCTTACTCCAGGATGTTTTAGTGTGCTCTAATTCTTTGAAATTCTTAGTTTCCATAATTCTGAATATTCAATTATCCAGCATATAATTTGTTATCTACCCAGGATAAAAAAGAATTTTGCTCTACTCAAAGCACCACTTTCTGCCAAAAAAAAATTCAGATTTTCCATAAAACTAAAGTTCTATAAAGAATTAATTATCAGCCGGGCTCGGTGGCTCAGCCTGTAATCCCGCGCCTTTGGGAGGCTGAGGTGAGTGGATTGCCTGAGCCCGCGGGTTCGAGACCCGCCTGGGCAGCGAGACCTCATCTCTACAATAAATCAAAAAATCAGCCGGGCGTGGTGGCGCATGCCTGTAATTCCGGCTACTTGGAAGGCTGAGGCGGAAGGATCGCCGGAGCCCAGCAGGTCGAGGCTGCGGTGGCCGGAAGCGGCCACTGCACTCCAGTCTGGGTGACAGAGTGAGACTTCCACTCAAAAAAAAAAAAAAAAAAAAAAAGAATTAATTATCAGCTGGGCACAGTGGCTCACACCTATGATCCCAGCAATTTGAGAGGTGAAGGAGAAAAGGACTGCTTAAACCCAGGGGTTCAAGATCAGTCTGGGCAACATGGCGAGACTTCATCTCTACAATTGTTAAAAAAAACAAAACACTAAGTTCCTAGTTTTGGTGGCATATGCCTATAGTTCCAGCTATTTGGAAGACAGAAGCAGAAGGATGGCCTGAGGCCTGCCTGGATGACAGAGCGAGACTGACTCAAACAAATAAATAATAAAATTGAATGTCAAAATAATTAAGCTAGATTCTTGGCAGTTACAGTAAATAGGGTAAGAATTTTGAGTAATATAACTTGGTAGGATCAGAGCCAGTCAATTTAACTGTCTCTAACAGGAAGTTCCATAAAAATACTTTACACATTGCTATGAAGAAAAACTGAATTGAGGTAGAGATATTTGACAGGTCACAGAGATGCTATCTTCTTCAACCTGAACACAGGGACAGATACAGCAGTACAGCGATGGCATATCCAAAACAGAATAACTATACAATAAAATAAACCTACAAATTAAGTTAAAAATTACAATCATATTAATGCCAGGTTTTCACTTAAAATTAAATATAAAAATTCTTAATACTTACAGGCCCCATAATTGTGGCTTGCCAGTGAAACACTAGGAAAAAAAAAATTCTGGTTATTATCTAGAAAGGCACAAGCTTTTTTGAACTTAGGCTGAAAAATCAACTTGAAAGTTACTTACTATCATCCCCAACTGGACCTGCAGAACACTGTGCTGGAGGGTCACGGGCCAAATCACTAAGTTCCTATGCCAAGACAGAAAACAATAGGTCATATTACCTTAATTTTAGAACACGCAAGCAACAGAGAGTCAACTGCTTCCAATTTTTACTTTTATCCAATTTTTTAAAGGGACATTTCAAGTAAATAATATATTCCACTAGAAAACACAGGAAACACTAGTCCAATTCCTGAAATATAGGCATAATTATCTAATGAACACGTGCTGAAACAATCATCTTGGCTAGGGTTCATGAAAGTATATATATACCCCCCCATGTGAACATTTTTATTACATGAGCAAAGGCAGATGTCTTACAAAATGAAATCGCTGTAACCACATGCCCTCATGGCTTAAGAGCCTAGACTAGGCAGAGTTCAACATTCTTGTTATTTGCTGAACTTCTAGACCACTTCAGATGCCCTCATTAGTCTGAAATCTTTTGTTCTTCCTAAACCATACACAACACTTCCTAAAATGCGCTGACCCTTTCCCACTTGAAAAATCTCTCAATAGGATAAGCACTCTTTAAAAAAAGTTTTTAAATCTTTTATTCCCTCAACTCAGCATCCATTTTCACCTATTCTTGAATTCTGAAAAAGCCTTCTTTAGAAAGAAGTTTTGCTCTTAGCAAAATATGCAGTTTCCACAATTCTGTATGAACTAATTATTTCCAACAAATATGTACTTAACCCTTCCATGACTTGTACAAAACAGATATGGGTAATTTAGTACAAAAATAACTTGTTTCTTTTCTAGGAATTTTTTTAAAAATTTAAGATGGTATAGTTTCGTTTTACCAATGATGCAGCCAAATGTCTAATCACCAAAAATTTAAAGTAAGATAAACAAAACCAATATTAATATACTGTCATCAAACTTTCCAAATTAAGTTTCTCTTAAGTTCAGTCTATGACATAAGTCAGTAAGCACCATTCCTTTAAAAAAAATTAATAACTGGGTGTGGTGGCTCATGCCTATAACCCCAGCACTTTGGGAGGCTGAGGTGAGAGGATTGCCTGAGCCCATGGATTCGAGACTAGCCTGGGCAACTTCTGTACAATAAATCAAGAAATATTAGCCAGGTGTGGTGGCATGCCTAGAGTTCCAGTTACTTGGAAGGCCAAGGTGGAAGGATGACCCGAGCCCAGCAGGTCAAGACTGCAATGGCCGTAAGCGTGTCTGGCCAACAGAGTGACCCCAAATTGATCAAGGGCAATGTTTGGAAAACAAAAGAAGACCAAATGAGCTGAAGGCACTCAAACACAAAAAGACCAAGTATTAGAAAGCAGAGGAATGGATACCTAAATTTAAAAGATACAAGAACACCACACTGGTCAACAGCAACAATCTACCACAATCTCAACGCATCTATAAGATGTAACTCGAAAATATTAATTTTTCTCTTCCATTTAGTCTACCAGAACAGTATATTCCTTATAACAAGAATTCAAAAGTGGAAATGTTTCCAAATTTGGTACGTTCACTTTCTTTCCTCAATTCTGATCTTTAGCTTTTAGTGCAAAGTCAAGGATATAAAATGCAAAATATCCACTATAAGTCTCCCCCACCCCAAGAATGCAGGGAATAGGAAAAAAGAGTTAAAAGTCTCTATTTAATGGTGGTGTACATTTGTCGTCTCAGCTACTTAGGATGCTGCAGCAGCAAGAGGATTGCTTGAGCCCGGGATTTTGAGGCTTTAGTAATGTTATGATCATCATTGTGAACGGTCACTGCACTTTAACCTGGGCAACACAGTGAGATCCTATCTCTTTGGAAAAAAAACGCCAGAATAGTAACTGCCTTGTATAAGAATGTAAAATCTTGTAGCATTTGTTAATACAGGAAAAAAAAAAAAAGCAAGCTATATGACCACCACAGAAGAGTGGCAAATTCTATCTAGAATACAGACACTCCTACTCCAAGATTCTAAAAAAAACCTGGATAGTTTTTGGAAAGCAGATTTATTGAGAAGACAAAGAAGCTCCCGTAGTGGGAGGAGACCCGAACGGGCTGCTCACTTTTCAGTCTTTTAACACCACTGTCTAAATACAGTCTTACTCTGCAGGTGGTCTATATATGGACTGAAAACATTTGTACACCCAATCATGAATTTATTGAAACAACACGTATGGGACACTAAAGTTACAAAAATGGTAAGATTCTCAGCCCTTGAGTGTTTGAGATTTTATCATGTATGTAATTAAATTCTGTAAACACATACATCAAAGTCATATAGCTTTTATAAAAACCCAAATGGAAATTCTAATGAGTTTAAAAATATTCTAAAGATGATCTTATGAGGAAGAATTCAATATTCATGTTATTTGTTGAACTTTCAGACCACTTCAGAGGTCATCATTTCTCTTAAAATCTTGTGTCCTGCCAGAACCATACAGGATTCTTCCTGAAGTCCACTGACCTTTTTCCACTTGAAAGATTCTCCCACAGGGCTAAGAACCAGTGGTTGTTTTCTGGGAGAGCCCTTGTTTTCACCTATTATCCTGGCATATTATCTGGCTTATCTTTTGTTCCACATTTTTAAGGTAAGTATTAGCTACAATAAAATAAGCCAGAATGAGTTTAGTAGACCTTTGTTTTATATACTTCCAGATTCTTTCTTGGTCTTATCTACTAAAATGCATGTGCACTGAACAAAGCTCTCTCTACAACACATGCTCAAATCTGAGACTAGCAAACTTCTTTCTGGTCCTTTTCAGACAGAACATAAACATCTTTTTAAGGTCAGCATACAGAGTTCGCTGATAACAAAGTATACTTAGATATGAAGGCCTTACCTACCAACTCCTCCAGCCATGGATGAACAAAATATTCACTGCTGTTTTCTGCTGGCTACTTAGTGTGTACCAATCAGGCATGCTATAATAGTGGTTTCTGGATTCAAAGTTGGCAGGGTAATGGGTAAACATGAAAAATTTATACACATAATTCAGCAGCCCTGTCTTAAGAGTCAATGCTTTTGCATAGTATAACTAAGAGATCTGACAATTAAGTTCACGAACTTATCCTACAAAAAGTACTGCATACCTCATTGCTGAATTATCACTTCGGTCACCTTCTAAGTACTCCTCTTGGGACACTATGCACTGATGTCAGCGCCTAGTCCACCCATCAAAGCTGCCGTCATATTACCTTTGATTTCCTGAATGTCATCAAAATGTCTTCTTTCAATATTTCCTTTATCTTCAGGTAAAGAAAAAAGTCATTGGGGACCAGATGAGGTGAGTAGGGAGGGTACACCAATACAGTTATTTGTTTAATGGCTAAAAACTCCCTCACAGGCAGTGCTGTGTGAACTGAGCATTGTTGTGATATAAGAGTTTCTTTGGGACTATTTTTGTACATACCTTTCTCATGCCAAGATTTTCAGTTAAGATTTGACTGGTTCTCTATCAATGTTTAATTGGTCTGCTATGCTTCTCAGTCAGTTGATGAATTTTTGCAACGTTTTTGTCAGCTGTCTGGTCATCCTGACTGACTTCATCAGTGACGCTTTCTCTCCTCTCAGAAAAACATTTAATCCATTTGTACATTGCCACTTCCTTCATGGCATTATCCCCATATACTTGGATTACCATGTCCCTGATTTCACCTCCACTCTTGTAAGTTTAACAAGAAATTTAATGTTTGCATGTTGCTCTGATTCAAACTGACATCCTTTACAATGACAGCTCTGATGGCCATTCCAGAAAGAGTTCCAAAACTGCTTTGATGGGTGGACTAGGCGCTAGCACTGGTGTATAGCTTCCCAAGGGGAATACTTCAAAAAGGACTGCAATGAAATTCAGCAAAGAGGTATGCAGCATTTTTTCTAGGGTGAGTTTGTGAACTTGTCAGACCGTGTATTTCATTATCTGATAACATCACAGTTGACAGTTTTACATTAATTCCTTTTTATTTGAAAGTTCTCTTGTGATTTTATGAAAAAATTAATAGCTGTCACTACATTGACTCCATCAACAGAACAACAACTTTACAAATAGTTTAATTTTAATGTTGGTCTTATACTAGTTTCAGAGACTTCATATAGATAATGCTTTGATTCTTTTCATTCACTACACAGAATAAAACCAAAACTTTTTCTGAGACCATCATGTCAAACATAAAACACCTGATTGTATCCCCCCTTCTTTTCTTCTTCTTCTTTTTTTTTTTAAAGAGATGAGACACCTTGCTATGTTGCCCAGGCTGGTCTTTAACTCCTGGTCTCAATCCTCTTGCCTTGACCACCCAAAAAACTAAGATTATGACCTTGAGGCACAACACCCAGCCCCTAAACCACCTGATAATTGTGAAATCTATTATAAAAGAAATTAAACAAAGATAAATTGTTATGAATCTGGATGGAAAATAAGTTATTTCTGAATCAGAAACATTCTTGGATTGGTTATAGTCAAATCAATCAAAAGAAATGCAGCAGTTGTCTAAACTCAAAAATTTAAATATATACTATATAACATGTAAAATGCGACACTGGCTAAAAAAAAATCTAGACAGTAGTCTTTTTGCTGTAATCAGGATTTTAGAAATAAAGTTTCAGAGTTCATATAACTACTACATATATCAATATAAGGGCCCTATGCTGGCACTGACAGGGAGGGTAAGGGGATAAGTGAGTCCTCTTAAGTTTTGTGCATTTTGTTTAAAATCCATTATAAATTATAAAACTCAATTTCTGTTGTTTGCGTGTAGGCAGAATAAAAGATGTTAAGATTTTTGGCCTAAGCAAATAAGGCTTGGAATTGGCATTAATTATAATCATCAACTTGAAGATGAAGCTTGTGGGCTGATATAGAAACACCATTGAAATCTCCAAGTAGACACTCGATTAGAAAAGTGCACATGCAAATTTAGGGTAGGAAGGACAGGCTTGGAGCAAATATTAAATATAGTTAATATATAGATGATAATTATAGTCATGAGACTCGATAATAGCGCTCTGCTATTTAAAAAAGAAAAGATCCTGGGAACAAACCCTAGACTAATTCAACGCTAATAAAGAGA